CTTGTGGGGGAGTGTTTCCGGTCCTTCCTGCAGTAGTAGAATTTTAATAGTATTGGTTGGTAGGGAATCCTGGGGCTCAGGACTGAATCTTGTCCCCTGCCCCCAAGAGTAGTTTTTTTTCTTACCATTCTTACCAATGGGTCTTTACCTGTGCCCTAGGAACACATGCTTTTCTGTTCCTCCCTGAGTGGCTTGGGTCTTTTTTGCTCCTTATGAAGGAAGAGCCTGGGCAGGAGGAGGCAAGCGCTCCTACCTTTCCCACTGTAGCAGCAGATCTCTCCTACCTACCTCCAAACCCAGGAAGCTCTTTAGAGCTCCAGCACCCTCCCCTCCCTGTGGTCTTTCCCATGAATATGTGGCAGAGGTTTTGGGAAGAGCTTGTGAGTACATGCCAGCTCCCTTGGTGTCTTAGGCTCCCAGGGATTTTATACTGTCAAGTTAGTCCAAGTTTGGCCTTTTTAACATTGATTTCCTCTTACTTGCCATATGATGGTCAACACTTCTTCCTCTCACGCTGGGCTACAGGTGAGCCAGTCTACAAGTCTGATCTCTCCTTGGAAGGCTCTGTCCCTCCTTGAAATTCAGGCTATTTGGCTGCTCTGCCACATTAGCTCTCTGATAGATCCAGTAAAATGTATGATTTTATCATCTATCCACCTTTTCTTTTTGAGAGGGACATGACACTCCTTCCAGATACCTATACCACAGGCAGAAGTGGAGCTCCTGAGTGACCTCATGGAATGGAATGGAAAATAATACCACATGTTCAGATGTAGCCTTTAAAAACAAGTACAGTGAAAAAGAAACAGTATTTGTTTTAGTAAGTAGCTACTCTTGTCTGTGCAAGGTTCTGAACTAGAAGCCTAGGTTGAAAAAGAAGAGGAAGTGTTAGATGTTACAAACATGAGTGTTGATACTTTTTAAAACAGAAACGGCTAAAAAGCATGAGGAAAGTATTTTCACTGGCTGATTCGGTATTATTTAATGTTACTTTCATTTAATACTTAAAGTCATTATCTTATGTAGATGTCTCACACTGTGAAATATATTTCACTATGTATGTTCCTGATCGCCAGAAAATGAGGATAAACAAGTTAAGTATCGCCACTGAGGAAGCAACTCAGCTCTGAGGTTTTTTCTTTGTCCAGACTGCTCTTTCAATGGAATAAAGGGCAGACGGTTGTCTTTCAATGGAATAAAGGGCAGACGGTTGTCAAAGGGCCTGAATTTGTCTCTGAAAGTCTGCAATCCAGTAACTGGACTACACGTATACAAAGGCCCACAAAGAAGGAAGGGGTAAATGCACTGAAGAGATACAGGGCTGTCAATCAGGTCATGTCTAGATGGGAGGAAGGGAGAGCAGGAAAGTAATTCTGGAGAAGGCGCAGAAAGAATGAAGCATATTCTAGGTAGAGAAAACACCAGAACAAAAAAGCTCAAGGCAAGTGGGATATTTGGCTTATGACAAAAAGAGACTGTGTATTTAAAAAAAAAAAAAAAAAAAAAGGGTGCCTGGGTGGCTTGGTTAAGCATGTGCCTTTGGCTCAGTTCATGACCCTGGAGTCCCAGGATCAAGCCCCACATCAGCCTCCCTCAGAGAGTAGTCTGCTTCTTCTGCTCCTCACCCTGCTTGTGCTTTCTCTCTCTCAAATAAAAAAAAATCCTTAAAAAAAAAAAACAACTAGGGGCGCCTGGGTGGCTCAGTGGGTTAAAGCCTCTGCCTTCGCCTCAGGTCATCATCCCAGGGTCCTGGGATCAAGCCCTGCTGTGGGCTCTCTGCTCGGCGGGGGGGCCTGCTTCCTCCTCTCTCTCTGCCTTGCCTCTCTGCCTACCTGTGATCTCTGTCTGTCAAATAAATAAAATCTTTAAAAAAAAAATAAAGCTAAAAGATCAACAGCTACATACGTAAGGAAGAGGGTGACGTTAATTTATTCAAAAACTATCGCGTGCCTAACATTTGTCAGGTGTTCTAGCCTCTGCAGATACAGCAACTTAAAAAAAAAGAAAAAAGATAAAATCCCCGCACTATAGAGCTTATGCTCTAGTGTGATGTATCAGAAAATAAGGTGTATGTTATGCTGGTGTTTAGTGCTACGGAAAAAAACACAGCCAAGGAGGACAGGGAATGTGTTTAGGGGATGGCTGTTTTTACACCATTAAATAGGGTGGTCAGGGAAAGCCTCACTAAGAAAGAAATGTTTGAACAAATGCTTGATTGCGATGAGGGTGTGAGTTATACAGGTATCTGGGAGAAGAGTTTTCTAAGCAGATGGACAGCTAGTGCAAAGGCCCTAAGAAGAGGCCTGCTGGGGTGACTCGAGAATAGCAGGGACCCATGTGGCTGGGGTTTATGGAGCACGGAGAAGTAACAGATGAACTCAGGGAGGCAGTGGTCGGGTGGGTTTCGTATCATGTAGGATCTCATCAGCCATTGTCAGGAGTTGTATTTGTTTTGCTCTTTAGCAAGCTAAAAAACCTAAGTGGAAAATGCCTTATTCATTCTGGTTGCTGTGTTGAACACTGATTGAAGGGTGGTTTCCAGACCGTTTGGATGCTACTGCAGTAGGTCTGTAAGTCTACAGTGATTTGGCCCAGGACAGTAATTGTGGAGAGGGTGTGAAGTGGTCAGTTTGAAGACAGAGCTGATAGGATTTGATGACTTACTGCAGGTGGCACCTGAAGAGTCAAGGTTGATGCCAAGATTTTTGTTGTGAGCGACTGAAAGGACACAGTCGCCATTTAGCTAAGGGTGAACGCAGGAGAGGCAGATGTGGTGAGAGAAAGTCCACTGTGGTTTTGAACTTTCAGAGACTATTTTAGAGTTGGCATGTGAATTTATTTTTCGGAGAGACAGAGAGCGTGCACTCAGGGGAAGGGGTAGAGGAAGAAATCTTAAACAGGCTCTGCATTGGGCGTGATCTCATGCCCCTGAGATCATGACCTGAGCTGAAGTCAAGAGTCGGTCGTGTAACTGACTGAGCCACCCAGGCACCCCACTATGTAAATTGAATAGATGGTCTGAAAACAGTGAGATCACGGTAAGCAGAGAGAAAAGTGTAAGAAAATGAGATCTGGCACACTCCTTATGAAGAAAAGTTGTCACTGACATAGAAGCAAAACCAGGGGCTTTGTGTTCCAGAAACTAAGTCAAAAAAGGTTTTTAAGAAGGGAGAGATCAGCTGCCAGATGCTACTGAAAGATTAAGGAGATAAGGACTGAAAATCACCCATGTGTTTTAACAGTGTGGAATCTTGGAGAACTTGATGAGAGCAATTCTGGTAATGTGCTGGGGTGGAACAGGTTCAGGTGAGAACAGGAGGAGAGGAACTCAACGGTTTTGAAGGAGTTCCACTGTAAAGGGAGTAGAGATATGGGGTATCAGCTAAAGAAGGGCGTGAGGTCAGTTTCTAAGCTGAGAGAAGCCCTAGCACTATGATGGAAAGATGCAGGAGAGCAGCGGGCGAACTGTGTAAGTGACATCCTTGAACAGATGAGAGGATGAGACCAGCTGCGCTCGGTGGTGGGGCCAGCGTCAGACAGGAGCGCCAGCAGTTCATCTATAGTACTGGGAGGGAAGGAAGAGGTCCAGGAGGACAGGGAGAGGGCACGGAGGGGCTACCTATCAGGGGTGGGCCATTTTGGGTTATCTGAAAAGATGTTTTGGGGAGCAATGACCTGGAGTAAAAGCTGATGGAGACCTAACAACATGACACTTATATAATGGTTCTGTGAGTATGTTTATACGGAGCTCAAGCATCACCGACCTCTATGTTACAGTGAACTAACTCGATAGGGGGTTTCAGTTTAGCTCGTTTAAAGAAACAGAAGAGGCAGCATACCCCAGTGACCCTCCTACTAACTCTCTTCCCTCCAAGCCAGTCTTCTGACTCTGAGCCATACTATTCCATTCAGCCCTCATGAAAGCAAATGAAAGACACACTCAAGGTTTGTCTGCTTTATTTCACTACATTAAGTTAAGCTATAAGGCAAAACAGGAGCCTGTAATTCATAAAGATTAAGGAGTGCCTCCCATTCCCAAAAGGGACCAAAAAGGATGTTTCTTCACAAATATACGTGACATTTATTTAACTCATTACACCTATAAGCACTTTGAACAAAAGAAACCTCAGTGGGCTAATCAAACCACAAATACATATTAACTTAGCTTTATGTTTCCAAAACTGTAGCTTCTAGTGCTAACGACAATGCACTGGCCAGCAGTGGTGGACTGCCTGTGCGCTGCCAGTCCTACACCTGATCTAGTATAAAAAAGCGACAAACAGAATTCTGAATTCACCTCCTGCAGCTGTTGAACCATTTCTACTAATACACAGAATACTGGCTTGCACTGAGAACTATCTTAAGGAAAGAGCAAAACAATGGCTCTGTTATTCTTCAAGTTAATTTGGCTTCTGAGGAAAAAAAAAAATTCTATGATCAAAAGTGTTTTTGTGTTTCTGTGTTACATGGGGGTGATGAGACCCATTACTTCAACATATTACTTCGGGGAACAAACACTAACTACATGCCGTAAACACACAGTATACAAGCGAGCGTAGTCTGCAAATGTGCAAACACAGAAACCGTTCTCTCCCCTGACATCCGGGTCCTCCACGAGCAAGCGTGGAGGCGTGGCTTCAGCGCAGACTCCAGCACGTAGCGAAATAAAAACCGAGACACCAAAAATTAAAACCATTTCTCTGGTCTGCAAATTTGTCATTACATGACCCCTGCCCCAACTCCTAAGAGGCTAAACCTTACTTATTACTGTCATAATATTAGAGATATGTGTATTTCTTTCTTATGCTGCAGCGTATGTATTACTCTGTGGAACAATGTTTCATAAAGTCAGCTTGACCAAGTACGATTTAGTGTTCTTTCAAAGGCTTCCTAAATATTTTTGTCTTCCAAAGGGAGCTAGTAAGTTACTATGTCCTGCCTGTATTCTAGATTACTATGTATCTTAATTTTTTTTTTTTTTTACGCTAAAGGCTTGAACTTAAAAACAAAACGAGGATAAAAAGGAAATTTCTCTTTTCCCCCAAAATGTGTTGGCCACATGCTAACAATACATTTACAGAAAATGTGGTGCAGACAGTGGTCTACTTGGTCAAGTCTCATTTTAGAAAATGCCACAGAAATTAAGGTTAGCAAGCCAGCTCCAGGATACCCAAAGAAAACAGCATGTGTGCTGTCAGGCAAGTATTCTGGGGTACCAGCTGAACTATTTTGTGTTTTACAATCAAAACAGCCTTACTTGACACGCCTTATGACAGACTTTTTTTAAACTCGGGATGGGAAAAGGTTCTTTATCTTAATACCCAGTTTGGGATTCAAGAGATTGTAACTGCTATTTTCCCCTTCAAATCAATGGAAAGAATATTAGTTTGGATCATGCTAAAAATCTGACCTTTAAAATGTTTTCTGCATTCCAGAAGTGAACTCGTCTACCGAGTTTTCTTTGGCCTCTTTCCAGGTGCCAAATATTTAGAACTTATTGAGTTCAAGAGGCAGAGCAGATGTGGGGGGAGGGAGTAAAACACAGAAGGGCTACCTCCGGATGACAGCGTTAACCCCTGGATATTGCGGCAACATTTAAAAGTGAGTGGAATTTGCAACCCCTTGGTATGACATGTGATTGCCTGCTTCTCCAATTCTTAAAAGAAGTTCCATATTCTAATGAGAAAGAAATTTTAAGAGCACCTGATAAATATGCATCCTGTATTTACTCAGAAGACGGCAAATTGGAGCGCCTTAAGAATCTCACAGGTTTTGCCAAACACCACGAAACGAAAGACAGGGTGACAATTCTATTTTTCTGTCCAAACCACGGCAAGGTGGGAGCCAGATTGGCAGGTGAAGGGATATGTTTAGACTGCTAGATTATAGCTACATGGAATGCGGATAGCAGCTGGTACACGGACATCGGCGCTGGGTCATTAACAGCAGGTGTGCCTTGCGGTTATCATTTTACCTGTGAGATTGTGACCCTTTTTGAGGTCAGACTGGGAGACAGTATGGTCAGAGTTTCTCGGGTGGTAAATCTAATGCCACTCCAAAGGACAGCCATCCCCTCTCTTGGGAGGGAACTGCGCTGCTGTTATTCGACGTGCAGGGTTCAGTGAGGGAGACAGATTACTAGTATGAACAGAAGTGAGAGCAAGAGGAACAGCAGTTAGCCTGAGTCCCTAATGCCTTGCCAGTGCCCCCACCCTCCTAGGAACAGGATTCAGTAGTGCATGGGTACATTATTACAAACAAGGCTTAATGAAGCAGTAGCTTCCACATGTTAACATGGGCTCGTGGTGTCCTTTGCCCCACCAGTGGCACCTTTAAGGAAGAAGCGGGCCCAAGCTGAGTTCCACGTGCTGGGTGAGCCAGATGACTTCTGTGCCCTGGTCACTTTCTTCCATGGGGCGGATGGGGGCCGCCAGGTTTTTAAAATCATGCTTCATCTTAAAGCACACGGTCACTTCGCCCTCCTCCCGTTGTGGCGTCACTTTGATGAAAATGCCCACTTTGTTGGCCTTTCTGAAGGCTATAATGCTATGGAAAAAAGTAAGTACAGTGTTAGGTAGGTCACAAGTCAGCCAAGCCACTAAGACTTACATTTTATCTAATGACAAGTTATGACCATCATCTTGTTTATTAGCAACAGAGTTCTTTCAGCAAAATGTCAATCTACCTTTTTAATATTACAAAAGTAAAATACAGTCCTAAATAATTGAAATTCAAATGGGAAAAAAGTTAAGTCTTCCCTTATTTTCCCCTTCAGCACACAGAAAAACTACAAACACTTTGGTTCTTAACCTACCAGGTATTTTTCTACGAGTTTGCACCGACACAAAAGGGACACACTACTTGTTCTATTAACTTGGTTTTTTCCACTCAGTTTATCACAAATACTTTCCATGCTGGTATATACAGATCTTCTCCATTCTACTTAATGGCTGCAGAGTATTTTGTTATAGGTTTACTATAATTGGTATATACTGATGTTATTGCCAATTTTCCTGTCATAAACAATGGTGCCGTGAATATCCCTTTACGTTGATCTATGCGTGCATGTGGTAATGTTTCTATAGGATACAGACTGATATTAACTCAGAACTTTAAAGGAACTTCTGGAACACCATAAAATTAGTGTTTTTATAAATAAGCTCTGTAAATCAGAAATTTCTGGAATAGAAAAATAATCTCTTTAGTTGATATTTCCGTTTTGACTTTCTCTGACGTGCACTTCATGTTTGTGCTTTAATAACTTAGCTTCAAACAAAAAGTCTAAGGGCAATGAAACAGAATTTGATCTACTATTCAAATGATACTCCGAGAAAAGTTACTGGATTTAAACATTTACATAGTATCCTATAGTATTTATTTCTAAGTATCTGAAAGTCCTAAAAGTGCTATGTGAAGTATAATTAATTCAATTTTTTATTACTCTATCATATAATCTGACTAGAATTTGATATCTCCGATGATCTTTCTAGCAGCTGACCTTGGCTTAACAAATTTCTATATCTTAATTAATGTCATTTAAGGATCCACATAAAGCAATGATTACAGAAAATGCCTTTTGTATTGTATTAACTCAATACATTTTGTACTGTAGTAAATAAACCCTTGATTTGTAGGATTCATTAAAAAAAGTTTTCTTTTAAAATTTAAAAATAGTAAGAAGGAAAAACTGTCTTTCTAGCCTCATTTACCAGGCAACCACTGATAGCTGGGAAGCTTTAAAAATAAAAATAAAAAAATGCAGATTTCTGGTGCACCCCTAGACCTTCCAGAGAGAATCTCTGGGCTGGGGCCTGGAACTCTACAGAATGAAACAAAACACTGGTGCTTTCCAAAGTCAACTCAATTTTGCCAATCATGGTGCTAAACTCATCTTTGCCCTTTATTTATTTATCGTTCTGTTAAAAAAAACCTTACATGTGGGGCGCCTGGGTGGCTCAGTGGGTTAAGCCTCTGCCTTCGGCTCAGGTCATGATCTCAGGCTCCTGGGATCGAGCCCCACATCAGACTCTCTGCTCAGCGGAGAGCCTGTTTCCCCCCCTCTCTCTGCCTGCCTACTGTGATCTGTCAAATAAATAAATAAAAATCTTTAAAAAAAAAAAAAAAACACCTTATATGCTCCTTGTGCCAGCATATGAAGCTGTTCTTTACAGCTCCAAGTCTACCTTCTGTATCTTGCTTTGTGACACAGGATTCTGCCACCAATGTCTCTCTGCTTTTTAGGTTGGCTCCCTGTCAGGCTCATGTCCAATGGAGGGGTTCTAACGGAGCCTAGAAACCTGGACGGGGAAGTGGCTTGCTCCTGCCTATGAGCTGCCTCTGTGTGTGTGTATATGTGTGTCTGTGTGTGTGTGTGTGTGTGGGGAGGTGTTCCTGTGGGCCTCACTCCAGCAATGGTTCTTCACCCAGGAAGGGACAGTACCTGTTGCAGTTTTAGACTGTATCCTAACTGATGTATGGTCATCCAGGCAAAGGTTCGGCTTTTTACTTCTCAGTTATTAGGTAAGACAGAGTCAAATCTATTACTCAAAGGGCAGGTGGGGAGGGTATGTGGAGAAATCTAATGATAAAACTATAGAAGAGAATACTGTATCCTGTAACTATTAAAAATAATGCACTTGAAAATTTTAATTAACAGGGGAAAATATTTACTACTTAAATGGAAACAAAGATTAGAAACTGCTTACAGAATGATCCCAATGATGGAAGAAATACATAGAAGGACAAAGACCAAAATGTTAACGGTGCTCATCTCTGGCAGTGGGATTTTATTTTCCTTCTTCATGGTTTCATATATATATTCTGCAAATTTCTACAGTAATTTTTTATAAACAAGAAAAAAAATCACCTTAAAAAATCAAGATTAAAAAAAGTGGGGTCTGTAAGTGGGCCTCCTACATTAGCTAACTGTACTATGTTGGGGGAGGAGGTCACTAAGCTCTTACTCACTCAGGATCGTCCTGAAAGTCCTGGGGTTCTGCCAACTCATCATACTCTGCTGCTGCATCCTTGCCAGCTAGGACGAGCTCTTTGGGAGGCACCACCACCTGCAGAGTAAAAGAGAGAGCGCTGCCTCAGAACGGGTCAGTGTGTTGTAGGACATTCATTCCACAACATATGACACAGTGGTACACCAACCTAAACATACCGAAGGAAGTTTCAGGAAACAGAGTATTACTTCACTTATACAGAGTTTAAAAACTGTTAGGAACACAGACATTTCTAGTGAAAGTACAAGAACAAAGAACAGTTAAGCAGCAGTCTTCAGACTAAGCCTTATGTTGTAACTAGGCCTCAACTTTGCTATGTCAGAGGTTAGCAGGTAATGATGTCAACCACATTTGTAATTACGGATATGAATGAGGATGGGAGGTATAAAGAGAAAGATAGCAAGTCTACAAACTGGGGTACACATCAGGCACTTATTTTTGTCTCACAGGAACAGGTTATTAGCGTTACTAAAAAGAGCAAGGACAGATGAGTGTCACTGCTCTTTGCAAGTGATGCTAATAAGTGAAATCATTAAAAAGCAGAAGGAAAAAAGAAAAAGGAGACAAAGAAATTCCCTACTAATAAGTATTTTTTCAAATAATAGCTAATTAAAGATATAGGAATCATTTCTATCAATTTTTGTGTCATGCTGAATTATGAGTCAATAATAGATTACCCATTGAGTAAAGTTCTTGATCTAAAATTTCAAATACTAGATGTATCGCCAAGTAACAAAATGAAAAAAAGGCCACATTTTATTCATTCAATTAACATTTACAGAAAGTCAAAATCACCTATTTTAATATTTAGTGCTGTGTATACTGTATGTAAGCGGAGGGCATCTAGAGGAGGCACAGCATTTAGAAGGATATGTTATTTCCTAGGAGTCTTGAGGCCTGAGCAGGAGTCAGACAGAGAGATGCGGGTATGTATGTCAGTAAATGGCACTCGAGCTAGAAGAACAGCATCTGCAATTCCCACCGCATCTGCTTGGAGGATATACATTAATATGTGTAATTTGGAGAATGCTAGATTTGAGGATCTGGGGAAAGGTCATCCTGGAAGAACAGATTGGGGGGACCACTGAGAACTGCTTATGCTATGTGGAGGAATTTGGATTTTCTCCCTAAGTCAGAGGGATGCCAAATGATCAGTCTACCATTATCAGAGTTAGATTTTAGAAAGATCACTTTGGAAGCAAGACAGACGACAGGCTGGAATGGCAGTGGGGGTGGATTCCGAACAGGTCAGCAAGGACATTACTGGCACAGTACAGGTAAGAAAGGATGAGACCTTCAAACAGGGCAGTGGCAGTGTGATTGTGCATAAAATAAAACAAAAAACAAAGCAAAACAACAATAACAAACTCAGGGGTGCCTGCGTGGCTTAGTCGGTTTAACACTGCCTTTGGCTCAGGTCATGATCCCCAGGGTCCTGGGACAGAGTTTCGGGCTCCTTGATCAGTGGGGAGCCTGCTTCTCCCTCTGCCTCTGCCTCTCTCTCCCTCTCTCCTTCTGTCTCTCATGAATAAATAAATAAAATCTTAAAAAAAAAATAAATTCAGGAGGTGAAATCAAAAGAAACTGATAATTGCTTGAATGTGGAAATGGAAGACAGTGTGGAGTCCTTTAAAGCCACGTCAAAAGGCCCCTCCAGGAGAAGTCACGGTCCCTCAAAATGCTCCTACCTTAGCAGTGCTGTTGATATCATCTGGGTCCCCCTCCTCGCACTCCAGCAGTGTCACATGGGTGAGGTTCTCCACTGGATTCGTAAGCGTCAGGAGGACCTGGCTCTCCTGGGGAAAAGAACAAGCCTCTCTCAGACATGTTCCACTACTGCCACCTTGGTCCACTCTCTTATTGCTGTACCAAGCATTTCACAAAATCGTCACCTCCTGCACCTGCCCCCCATTATTCCTGAGCAATAACACCCACCTCTACATCACTACATTCTCAAAGTGCTCACAGATTCCTATTCTACTATTTATATTAGGCTATATATGCTATGGAGCTCCTTAAATTACATGAGGAAATAGGGCAGATCCCATAGAAAGGGCCAGGTACTAGACTCAGAAGTTCTGAGGAATGTACATTATCTAACTGATTAAAGTTTACAACTCTTGCTCCATCCAGTCCTCCACTTAAGGACTCCTGAGCAACAACTTAAGTCTGCTTAATCTGAAAGTCCTCATAAAGCATGAGAGCCACAGGGTAGCCAGACAGAGAAAAAAAAAATTCATCAGGACTCTAAAAGACTTTTAAGACTTCTTGTCCCATAATTTGCCCTTGTTTGGTACTTTCTTGAGGTTAGCAAAATCTTTCAGATGAACGTGGACTCCATAAGCAGCATGAAAGGAAAGAACAAAAGGGGCCGTTACAGAATATTCTACACTCATGGTGGGGGAGAGGGGGCATAGATAAGGAACTCAAAGAAGAGAGGGGCTGTGGTAAAGAAATCCTGTTGATTCCTGGTATCTGACACACGCACACACATGGGATGTGGAGAGTCTCCTGGTTGGAGAAGAGCTAAAGATGTCTGTGGGATAAAACATCTTCCTTCTTTCCCCACCCATGAGTTCATCTTTACATAATTTACATGCTGCTCCTTCTAAACGTATGTCAAAGATGCTGTTGCCAAGAATCCCAGCTTAAAGAAGTTAAAAATCCCAATCCCTTTATGACTTCAAACTTTCTTTTCTTTCCCTTGCTCCTGAATCTCATGCTACACACACACAGCCGCCCACATACACACACACACACACACACACATTTCTTATCAGTTCTTTATCTTCTTGCTAAAAAGCAAAGTACTAACCTTCATGTAGCGAAGGTTGGGAATTGACATGATTCTCACTTCTGGGATATAATTGCTATGTGTGAATAAAAAATACATTAATGTCCACTGAAGTCTCTTAAAATCATTGTTACTTTCCTTTCAAGCGATTTCAGTGAAGATTTCTTCAAGTTAATCAGAACATGTCACAGAAAAAGAATTTCAAAGAATCATACCATCATAATAAGAACTTAAGACTTATGAAACCAACTGTTGAGTTCTTTCTGAAATCGTATGTACACTTCTACATACAGCCTATATATCTGTGTGCATCATGGTAGATATCTTCCTTATACATTTGCTAGATATATTTTTTGAGATTTTATTAATTCATTTCTGTAAATCTGAAAGGCAACTGGTTACAGGACCCACAACCTACTTAGTAACACACTGCAGAGGTTGAAACACACTACCACAAACTTATCAAACACTTTTATAAGCACTGTGTGCTAGGCAATGTTTTAAACACTTTAACTTAATCTTCACTGTGACTGCATGAGAGAGGTGTTATTACCATCACCCCCATTACAGAGATGAAAAAACTAAGCTTCAAAGAAGCAGTAACTTGGTGAGTAGCCAGAATTCAAACTCAGGCAGTGTATCGCCAGGGTCCTTCCCCTTAACCACTGTTTCACTGCCCAAGAAAGACAACAGAATACTGTACTCACATGTGCTTAGTCTGAACTCAAAATCACCCAGGGTCAAATCTCAGCTTAGTGTTTATATACCTATTCTTTCCTCCAAAGTCAACAGACCAGCATTTCTCAACATTCTTGACTGCTGGAAGGACTTTTTATTTTTAATTGCTGCAGAATATTCTACAACCTCAGTGTACTGCAATTTAATCAACTATTTGTTAATGGTTAATCAGCTTGACACTGAAATTGTTTTTAGCTTTTTGCCATTAAAATGTTACAATACACATCCTTACATATGTATCTTTAGATATTGGTGGCTTTGTTTCAACAGAATAGATTCCTGAGATGGTACTGCTGGTTTAGTCTATGTAACTTTGTCTTGACATTCCAGACCGCTCTCCAAAAAGACTCTAGCAATCCACAAACCTACCAACAATGTATGCAAATACGTTTCCCCACATGCTCACAAGCACTAAATGCTCTTTATTATTTTAAACTTTTCCTATCAAGTCTCAGCATCTTTCCATGTATTCGCTGACCATTTGAAATTCCTCTTCTATAAACTGCCAGTTCAAATCCTTTTGTCCTACTCACATTTTCATCTTTCCAATCTGTGGGAATTCTGTCTTCCAGGGACATTAAATTTTTATCTGTCATGGAGTAGCAAATATTCTTTCCTGCTCTATTGTCTGTCTCAGGATTCTGTTGTCAAATATATAAATGTAAAAATATATGTAGATATATTTTTTTTTTACAGTTTATGGGTTTTTTGTGGTTTTTTTTTGTTTTTTGCTAAGGGTCAGCTATTTTCTTCTTTAGTGGTTTCTGGGTTTCCTGCCTTACTAATTCCCTCTAAGCATTTCTTGCCCTGAAGTCAAGACAGTATTTTCCTAATTTTTCAAAATATTTTTAATAAGTAGTTTTCATTCACAAAATTCCCTTCTATTGACAAGTCCCAGTGAATTAACACTAATAATCACTTTTATCCCACTCAATGAACACTGTTGCAGGGATCCTCTTTGATTTGTTCTACTTGGTTATTTTTTACTTAATATTTTGGATCATTATCAAAACTAGGTACGTTTTAACTTGCAATCAATGACCAGTATCTCTCTGTCCAATAACTAATTAACAATCACCACCTGGAGACCATACCATCATTGTGTCCCTGATGCAAACACCCTTGATTCTAGGTCTGTAATTTGTTTTAAAGTTCAGGGTATAGAACTTGAAACCTAAACAGAAAAAACAGCAAGATAATTCTGATGAAGTTTTTCAAGCCCAGAGTAAATACATTTTGTGTTGAAAAAGTCAAAGAACAATAACTAAAAACACTGATCCCAAAATACTCACACAGCAACCAGCTGGATTTTGAATTTGATAGATGTTGGATTAAACTCTGGCTTGCTCAAATTATGTTCACATTTCTAAAGAGAAAAATTTATAGTATGTATTAGAGGAAAACAAAAAAAATCTCTGCTGGATCCATACAGCTACTAAATTCAGAAGGACAGCACTGACTTGAGTTTTGTTTTGTTTTATTCTGCTATAAGACCGCATGTTCTGATTGCCAACATTTGCAAAAGATGATGCTTTGGACTTCTCTGGACATAAGCAAGAACCTATCAGATACTATACCTTTGCGGTGCTTAATAACTACTGAAATAACAACAACTAACACATACTGAGAACATACTAAGTGTGCTGAATCATATGCTCCTTAATTGGATTTAAACATGACACTGACTTTATAAGGTAAGTGTAGGTACCCAAACTGTTATCGTCCCCATTTTACACATTATGAAAATGGGGCACAAGAAGGGTAAGTCATCTCACCCAACTCCACAGAGCCAGTAAGAATTAAAGCTGGGTTAGCACCTGGGTGGCTCAGTCGGCTGACCATCCAACTCCTGGTTTAGGCTCAGGTCATGATTTTTGGATCATGGGACTGAGCCCCCAAGTTAAGGCTCCACACTCAGCTGGGAGTCTATCTGAGATTCTCTCCCTCTGCCCCCCACCTCATGCTCTCTCTAAAATAAATAATCTTAAAAAAAAAAAAAAGAATCAAAGCTGGGATTTAAATCCAAGTAGTGTGATTTCAGATCCCATGCTTTAAAATACATTAACAATTTTTTACTTTCTTTAATGGGTACTACATACACTTGGTTAAAAAATTTCTTAACAGTACAAAACAGGGACAGTGTAAAGGTACCCATTACTTGTCCCCTTGTCCTCCTCCCCAGAGTCCTACCAGTATCTCATGTGTTTTCTCATTAACAGCCTGTGCACATACAAGTATGTGCACACATTGTCTTTTTTACAATAACAAAAAAGGGAGCATTTTATATACTCTTTTGCCCTTTACTTTTTTCCTTATCGATCTTAGAATTCTATACCAGCACACACAGAGCTATCTCTGTATCTTACTGTCATCATTTCTGTACCTTATTCAACCATACCCACACTGATAGATATCTGTGACGTTTCCATGATTTTGCTATTATAAATAAGGCAGCAACGAGTAAGTATTCTTGCATATCAGTCATTTCCCATATGTGTTAACTTGTGCTAATCTGGTTTACTATCAAATGGTATTTCACTGCAGTTTTAACAGACATTTCTCCGATTTCTGGAGGAGTATCTTTCATGTTTATTGGCTATTGGGATTTCCTCTGCTGTGACTTGTATGTTAGTATTTACTGGATCTTCACATACTGACTGGAGTATGTTTTCCTTACTAATTTGCTGAAGTTCTTTACATGTTCTAGACACTAATCCTTTAATTATATATCTTATAAATTACTTTTCTCGGGTTATGGCCTATCTTTTCATTACTACGGGTGTTCTTTGGAGTGCAGGTATAAGTTTCACTGTGTCAAATATATAGCATTGATTCCTCTATAGTTTGTGATTTGCCTTATTTATGGAATACTCCCTACCCAGAAGTCAAAGATTTTCCTGTCTCCTTTTGGAAGTTTCGCTCTTCATATTTGCTCATTCATGTTTCTAATGTTCCAGGGCACCTGGGTGGCTCAGTCAGTTAAGCATCTGCTTTCGGCTCAGGTCACGATCTCAAGGTCCTGGGACTGAACCTAGCATCGGGCTCCCTGGTCAGTGAGGGTCTGCTTCTCCCTCTCCCTCTGCCCCTCTCTCCGGCTCATGCACTCTTCTCTAATAAATAAAAATTACCTTTAAAAAAAAAAGAAGTTTCTAATGTTCCCGAAATTGACTTTTGTGAATGGTGTGAGACAGAGACCGAATTTTATTTTCATGTAATTATTTGACCTAGGAAAATCTAACAGGCTATTCTTTCCCCAGTGATCTGCAATGCTGTATTTGGTAAATACCAAGTTTTCTCACACCCATGAGTCTGTTTCTACTTTCTCTACTCTGTTCCAAGTCTGTTAACCTACATAAATGCATATTAAAAAAGATTTTTGTTTATACACACACATATTTCTTTTCCTTCCTGCCCTCCCTTCCTTACACAAAAAGTTGTGTACCTGCCACACACCCTATTTTTTGCATTCAAAAATATATCCCATAGGGGCGCCTGGGTGGATCAGTGGGTTAAAGCCTCTGCCTTCGGCTCAGGTCATGGTCTCAGGGTCCTGGGATCGAGCCCCACATCGGGCTCTCTGCTCAGCGGGGAGCCTGCTTCCCCCACCCCCTCTGCCTGCCTCTGCCTACCTGTGATCTCTGTCTGTCAAATAAATAAATAAATAAAAATCTTAAAAAATATATATATATCCCATATTAGTACATTCCTTTTTAGACTTCTAGTACTCACTTCTATGGATATACCATAATCTGCACATTTTGTATTTGTGGAAGCCCACCTACCCTGAAGACAGATTGATCAATAGGAAACTGCTTATTTACTTTTGATAAATCTGGTGAATTGTACAGTCAACATGAATCTTGTATAACATCTTATGAATTTACATATTAAAATTTACTATCATTAATCTCCTTAAAGGAATCAACTTTTTGTTTTATTGCTTTTTTGTATTTTACAGTGGTTTTTTTTTTTTTTTAAAGATTTTATTTATTTATTTGACTGACAGAGATCACAAGTAGGCAGAGAAGCAGGCAGAGAGAGAGGAGGAAGCAGGCTCCATGCCAAGCAGAGAGCCCGATGTGGGGCTCGATCCCAGGACCTTGGGATCATGATCTAGGCCTAAGGCAGAGGCTTTAACCCACTAAGCTGCCCCTTTACAGTTGTTCTTAACTCATTAGTATCCTCTTCCTTCATGTTTCCTTGTACTTACTTTGCTGTTCTTTTTCTAACTTCTTGAAATGTCTGCTGAAACACTGATCTTTTATTTCTTCCTTTCTAATATACAGATTTACTTCTAGGCATGGTCTTAGCTGTGTCCTATAAGTTTTCCTCTACAGGAATAACTAATTCCTAATTTAATTTTACTCTGATCAAATAACATATTCTAATAATATCATCTTTTGAAAAATGTTGAGGGGTGCCTGGGTGGCTCAGTGGGTTAAAGACTCTGCCTTCGGCTCAGGTCATGATCCCAGGGTCCTGGGATCAAGTTCCACATTGGGCTCTCTGCCCAGCAGGGAGTCTGCTTCCCCCTCTCTCTGCCTGCCTCTCTACCTACTTGTGATCTCTATCTGTCAAATAAATAAATAAAATCTTTAAAAGAAAAAAAAAGAAAAAGGTTGGGACTGACTTTATGACCAGTATACAGTTAATTTTTATAAGTGTACTGTGAATACTTGGAAAGAATGCATATTCTGCAGATAATTGGGTACATGTTTGTTCTCTCGGTTACTAAGCGAAGCATGTTTAATTTCCCCAAATCATTTGTCTAAAATAATGTAATTTTCTCCAATGTTTCGGTATTTTGAGTCTACGTTATTTAGTGCATATAATTTTAGAACTGTTACATCCTCTTTGTGAATTATTTCTTCCTTTATGAATTATCCCTCCATTTAAAAATTTATTATTTATATGATCTATCTTTCCCATTTATCTTCACTTCCAAACTTTCTGAATTCTGTTTCTTATGATTAGCATAGAATGGGCAGGCATTTTGTTGGTTTTAAATATTTAGTCTTTTTTTTTTTTTAAAGATTTTATTTATTTATTTGACAGAGAGAGAGCTCACAAGTAGACAAAGAGGCAGGCAGAGAGAGAGGAGGGGAAGCAAGCTCCCTGCTGAGCAGAGAGCCCGATGCGGGGCTCGATCCCAGGACCCTGGGATCATGACCTGAGCCGAAGGCAGAGGCTTTAACCCTCTGAGCCACCCAGGCACCCCTTAAATATTTAGTCTTTTAACAGAAGCATTTACTTCACTGGCGTTTATATAAATACTGAAATATTTGGCTGTAAATCTATCTCACTACATGCTTTCTATTTGAACCACCGGTTTTATGCTCTTTTCCCTCTGTTCTTTTTGTACATGGCTTTTATCAAGCTGAGGAAGTTCTGTATTGCTGTTTTGATCTACAAGGTTTCTTTTCCATGTTCTTTTGGTTTTCTTCTACAATGTATTTATTGAAGAAACTCGGCTGTCTTATAAATTCATAGAGGCTGGATTTTGCTAATGTTTCTTCTTTTTCCTTTCTTTTATTTTATAACTCCTCTTTGTTGCCTCTCTATCAGCCTGAAAGTCATACATTCTTTCACTACTCTTCTAGGGGTTAGTGTTATGAATTTATTGACTTTCAGGTACCTCATTTTCCACATCTGTAGAACAGGGGTAACAACAGTACCTACATCTCATAGTTGTAAGGATTTTTATCTTGAAAGCATTTAAAATGGTAACTGGACACCCAAGTACATTCTCTATAAGCATATTTTATATTTACTACATTCTAGAAGTTTCGACATTGGCCAGATATCAATGTTTATTTCATTCCTGCTTTTCTCTGGTACAAACGGCAACTCTACAGAATGGAGTAATTACCCGACAGCGCAGGGACCGTTTGATCAGAAGATGTTTGTGACGAGGATAGAGCTGTGAAGCACAGACTGGCTGGAAGTCAGGCTGCAAGAGGCGCTGCTGAAGGGTGGTCACTAGCATGAAAGGCAGAAACCAGGCTTAGTTTACAATGACTCACTCAAAATTAGACTTACGAGATAACACTTGAAACAACACTTCCTTTGTGAACAGCCCTTCCAACACATGAAACAACACTTCCTTTGTGAATAGTTCTTCAAAAAACTACAATAGAGAAATCTGACATTTTAAAGTTCTTCAAGTGATTATATCTATTTCATTTGTTACTGGATTTATGTTACTACTAACAACCATGACGCCATCAAAAAATCTCAAAACTCAGGGCATATTAGTAACAAAAGCAGAATTAGGTGTAAAATAGAAACCAAGGAAAAAAAAGTAAAATATTACCCTCTGTTAAATTTACTGGTCTTGTATAGTAATCTTCAGGTAGAGGTTCCACTTCGTCTACAGCCTGAGCTGGCTCAATCTTTATCTCTTTCTGGTCCTCTCCTTCTTTAAGGCTAAAAGATAAAAAGCACTAATTTCTCAAAGGTCCACTTAATTGCCTTCAAAGTGTACAATATCAATAACTGACGTATTCTTCTATTGCAGAACATTCTTTCTCTGTTGGGGTCTTTTCTAAGCATGACAATCTTCTTCCCCAGTAGCAAGTGTTTTATGTCACATTCCTCCAATTCATTTGGATACCTGCTTTTCTCCTCAAAGCCATTTAATGTCCAAACTTACGACAGTCCGGCAAGGGTACTGATGGTTGCACCAGCTCGTGGTCGCTGAAGCCTGGTTCCAAGACCATATTTGTCCTAAAAAGAGTTCAGAAATTCCAATTACAAATGCTACGTTTATACATCCTATTTACCACAAGAAAGACTTTTGGGTGGGCCAGCATGAGAAGCTCAGGGAAATAAGCAAAAAAAAAAAAAAAGCTAATTTGAAAGCTCCTTTTAAAGAAAGTAATTTGTAGCCCCACATCATCTTATTTTTAAAATAATTAGCAAAAGCACCAAACATGGAGACTGAAACTACATTAGTAGAGTAAAATTGAACTAAATGTGATTTTTTTTTTAAACTATTAATCTAAAAATATCTAAGCTATGACTTAGACCAGAACTATGTGAAGTGTCTATGGCAAATGATGAATGTCTTCTTGGAACACCAGCGATCATCTGCTAACTTCTTCAGGGTTAGCAAGAATCATAAAAGAGAACTTACCACTACATGAATAGTGTGTTGCTGTAGGCCCCCAAATAGCAGCAGGTTGCAACAGAGACAAAAAAATGCAGCATAAGACAGAAGCAAACTCATACAGCAGGCAGGTTATAAGGGAAGCTGGAAGAATAGTGCCTTTAATTCAAACTCCTCTCCTACATACACTAGTGCATATGCTGATTCTACCACTGGGCTATTCTGAAAATTTCATTTAGACTTCATTAAAGTCTCTGGTAATGTAAATGCTTTGAATGTCTTAATGTTTTATTTTGTTCTAAACTAAATATTTTTATATGGACCCCACCAATCCTTAGGGATCCAATGGCTTAACTAATTCTCATATAGAAGCAGTATGACAAGTTACATTTCCTCAGCTGTCAATCTACACCACAGGATTGTTGTGTAAAATATGTGAAAAGTCCTTATTAGAATAGTGCCTGACAAATCACTGTCCTTCAATCAATGTTACTTATTCAATGTCAACCTGCTCGACCCCAAGCAAGCATACAGAAAAGAAACTGTTCTACGAGAGCAAATAAAACGTGGGGGACAGTAACAAAAGCTCCATATGCTCATGTTTTGCTTCTGGATAGCACACAGACTGTAGTGAACGACTTCTGTGAAGAATTCCTATCAATGACACTGGCATGTATTACTATTTATTTAACCATGAGAAATGCACTGTGTAAGAGTCAGTGTTCTTCACACTGGAGAACTATAGGAAGGTATCAGAAATAATAAATTGAGCTGGGAACCCATTACTATAGGATGTCAAAGGTGGCCTACCTGTCTAATATGAATAAAATCTAACACTTGCCTCTCTTCCTCTGTAGTTTTGTCATATCTACAAAATTAAACACTAGCCCTGGGGAATAATCAGAAGAGAGAGGGCAATGATAGAAAAAGGAACACAAACGTCCTTAAAACTCAAAGAACTCAAAAAGAGTGAATGAAATGGCAAAAGCCTAACTGCTGGACTTAACCACCTATGATTTGAGAAACCTTTCTTTGCTACCCATCATTCAGAAATCTAAGGTCAGTGGCCACCTTCTGAAACGGTCACTGTTCTCAAGGCACACAGGCCTTGTGAACAACGAACTGCACACTCCTTTTTGTACCAAGTCCTCACCGAAAAAGCCAAAGGCATATAGTTTCTACGCCGTGCCAGTTTCTTGCGATCCCGTTCAACCTTCTCCTTCTGAGCAAGCTGCTGGTAATATTCAATCAGTTTGTTCATCTGTAAGACATTGAAGACGCACTAACTGTTTTCATGAGGAAGCTAACAGGAAGTATGAAAAATTAAGCAATGACACTAACTGGACACAAAATGAACAGAGAAGACAAATTACTACAGTGGACAAATTTGCCCTTTTCCTCAAAAAGAATTTCTTTTCATTACATTTCTCTGTATAATTTCAGAATTAAAATGGAACCTTTAAGTTTAACAATGGGAAGAAATGGGTAATGAAAAGGCTAGGAAATTTCATGCCCTCTTGTTTTACTTCACTTTTACTTTTTACCTTTTTACTTCCTTTTACTTCATTACTTATTTCGCCCTACAACTACTCCCATTTTTTCTGTATGGCCACAGGCCTCTTTCTTTCTTTCTTTCTTTTTTTTTTAAAGATTTTATTTATTTATTTCACAGACAGAGATCACAAAGTAGGCAGAGAAGCAGGCAGAGAGAGAGGAGGAAGCAGGCTCCCTGCCAAGCAGAGAGCCCGATGCGGGGCTCAATCCCAGGACCCTGGGATCATGACTTGAGCCGAAGGCAGAGGCTTTAACCCACTGAGCCACCCAGGCGCCCCAGGCCTATCTATTTCTAAGAATGTAACATCTTATACTGTGTCTTCTCCCCCACTCATTTGTTTTCATTTTTAAAATGTGTCCTTGGGGCACCTGGGTGGCTCAGTGGGTTAAAGCCTCTGCCTTCAGCTCGGGTCATGATCCCAGGGTCCTAGGATTGAGCCCCATATCGGGCTCTCTGCTCGGCAGGGAGCCTGCTTCCCTTCCTCTCTCTCTGCCTGCCTCTCTGCCTACTTGTGATCTCTCTGTCAAATAAATAAATAATCTTTAAAAAAATAAAATAAAATACGTCCTAATCCTAAAAGCAATACCTGTTAACTGTGAAAACTTAGAACAACATTAAACAAAGCAAAACTTCTCTTTTATCTCTTGTGTCACTCTTCCCCTCAATAAAGGTTATCTGTGATTATCAGCTTAGGTATCTTTCTTACACACACATATGGGTATGTGATTACACGTTGCACACATTAAAACAAAAACCTTGTGTATAGATATATAGCTTTTTTATGTCTGAAAGAAAGTATTTTTCACATAGGGGAAAAACACATTATTTTATAACTTTTTATTTCACCAAAAATAAACACATACTGTTTTCTTTTTCTGAGTCACAGCCTGACTACAGAACTAAAGCTACAACTAGGTTTCTCTATCAACTTAAGCCAGACTAGAAAATACAGCCATTGTGATTTAATGTCTTATGAGAAGCACTTTCTGTGTGTAACAGACACCAAAATACACATCACAGATTTCTAAGTATATGCCATATCCATGGATAAAATGAAAGATCATCAGTCTTTTTATCCATCTCTTCTTAGGTCATCCTCTCTCTGATGACGCTTTACTTACCCGTTGCGTGTGAGGATTTTCAGGTTCCTGCCAACCGCCGCTAGCTGCAAAACAAAGGGACAGTAAACAAATTTCCATAACTTGATATTTTTATTTTCATAAAAACAGTTCATCTGCAGGCCACAAAATGAAATTTAAAAACACAAAATCACAGAACTTCCAAGAAATAGTCCTATGAGTTATATAGACCAGAACACTCACAATGAAATTTTCATTAAAAATAATGAGGGTGACAAGATAACAGCCCTACCACCACAACTAAGACATGCATAACTTCTGTGACAAGCATCTGAAATGTATTACATTTCATTTTATGTAATAATTGTCTGACATCGGGATTCTTATTATTAGTCTCACTTTACAAATGAAATTGAGGCTCAGAGAAGTTAAATAACTTGCCCAAAGTCACATAGATAGTTAAGTGGTAAAGCTGGGATTCAAACTCATGCAGTCTGACTCTTAAGACCCTGCTCTTATCTGTAACACTGCAATTTCTATGTTCTATGACCTTGATTCAGAGAAGAATTTCTTACATAAGAAACAAACAGCACAAATCACAATGGAAAAGATTATTCCAGAAAGCTAAAAGTAAAACCATGATAAATAGAGCTGACTCCTGAAGAACATGGGTTTGAACTGTGAGCGTCCACATGTATGTGGATATTTTTCAACAAATACAATACAGCACTGTAGCTGTATTTTTAATTTTTTCTAGTTTATTATATTACGAGACTACATATATACAATACATACAACTTACAAAGTATGTGTTCATCAACTGTTTATGTTACCAGGGAGGCTTCCAGTCAACAGTAAGCTAGTAGTAGTTAGGTTTTTGGGGAGTCAAAAAGTCACGCAGATTCCCCACAGTTGGGGCTCAACACTTTAGCCTCTGCATTGTTCAAGGGTCAACTGTATATCTCAATAAAGCTAACCCCCCGAAAAAGGGAAAAAGTAAACTACAATGAGATACAGTTTTACAACCATCAGTCTGGAAAAATGAAATAAGTCCCACAACACTACAGTAGCCAAGGCTCTGGAACAACGGGTAGTCTACTCTTACGCCTAAGTCAGCTCTGGACTAGGAGCAGAATGCTAAAAGAGAAAAGTTGTAGCAGGATACATATACGGTATATTTCCATGTGTTTCATATTAAAAAAAACATCTGTTAGTGGCTACAAGCATGCATGGACACCCGACGCCGATAAACACGGAATTCAGGACTGGGGTGGTTACTGCTCCAGGAAGGTGAGGAAGGGAATGTAGTGGGGATAGGCTACACAAGGGGCTTACACTGTTTGGGTTACGTTTACTATCTGAAGCTGGGTGATAAATACATGAATGTGTATTATCTGTTTAAGTAAAAATAACCTTTTTTCAAAACACAAAGGATGCTTGTTAAAGGTGATGCACACCTTGCAAGAAATGGCAACGACATCCTTTAGTATATCAATATTTTAAAGGTTGCCTTACTTAAGACAATCATGAAAATAATTATGTAAAAGAAATGCTTTACTTGTAATATTTTAAAAAATCTAAATGAGTGTTTTACCTAATTGCTTTAGAACTGGCAATTTACTCTGAAGAACACTTTGGGAAACATAACTATCTCATTTACATTACAGACACAATGGCTTACTTATAAATAAACAAATAGTTCTGAAGTGGTTTCAGAGCTTCTCAGACACCAACAACATCATGAAAGAAAAATTATCTGAGCTTCAAGAGCTCCTACTATTCAATTATTATTGTCAAGATACCCTAGAGGAGACATATTTCTAGAAGTAAACACAGGTTTTAAGCTCTGAAATATAAATTCTCCAACCTTAATGGTTCATAATCTAAAAAGCATAAAACATTCTCTTAAGGGTAACACTGAGAAATCTATTTGGATTTCTGGGCTTTGTTTCTTTACCTTGACAACAAGAGACAAAATACAAACAGAGAAAAATACATTCCAAAAAAAATACTCTTCAATTCACTGAGGCGTACATACTCTGCCACTTTGAGGTTGTTTTTCATATTTAACTTACATTCATAAGTAAATTCAAACAACTAACTTGCTATAGTGATATTAAAACACACATTTACTGACAATCTAAAGGTGCTATAGAATCTTTCTAATAAAAATCACATTTCAGGAAGTATCTATCCATCAATGAGCAACAATCAAGAGCTCAAGCATTCTAAACCAAAGAGCAAACACAACAGAACCAAGGACTGAATTTTTAAGAATAAAGAAACCTGACCCATATTTATTTCTAAACTGTGTAAAAATCTATAAGAAGTTTTTACTTAAAGCCCGTCTTCATTTTAGTTATGTCAACTGACATGAGTTAATTATGGGCTTCATCACAGACTAGTAAGTAGGCTGAAATTTTAAAGGTTTTATTTATTTATTTGAGAGTGAGAGAGAGATAGCACGAACAGGGTGGCAGGTGGAGAGGGAGAAGCAGACTCCCCACTGAGCAGGAAGGCAGAACCCTGGGATCATGACCTGAGCCACAAGAAGATGTCCAACCAACTGAACCACTCAGTTGGCCCCCAAGACGGGAATTCTTACCAAGTCTGAAAAGTTTCAGAAAATTTAATGAAAATTCAGAAAGAAAAAAGACAATGGGGAGTTAGCAATGCCACTATTTCTATAAAAAATAAATAGCAACTCAAGATCTTGAACTGACTTATACAGAGTTTCTACTCTCTGATGTTAACCATGGAGTATAGGAAATGCAAAAATAAAGGAAGTTTCCCAGTCAACAAAACCAAAAGACAACCGACAGAATGGGAGAAGATATTTGCAAATGACATATCAGATGCAAGGCTAGTATCCAAAACCTATAAAGAACTTATCAGACTCAACACCCAAGGAACAAATAATCCAATCAAAAAATGGGCAGAAGACATGAACAGATATTTCTGCAAAGACATCCAGATGGCCAACAGACGCATGGAGAAAATGCTCCATATCACTCAGCAGCAGGGAAATCCAAATGAAAACCACAGTGAGATACCACCTCACACCAGTCAGAATGGCTAAAATGAACCAGTCAAGAAATGGCAGATATCGGTGAGGATGTGGAGAAAGTGCAGCTCTCCTACACTGTTGGTAGGAATGCAAGCTGGTGTAGAAACTCTGGAAAACAGTATGAAGGTTCCTCAAAAAGTTGAAAATAGAGCTACCCTACGACCCAAGCAATTGCACTACTGGGTATTTGCCCCAAAGATACAAATGTAGTAACCCGAAGGGGCATGTGCACCCCAATGTTTATAGCAGCTATGAAGAGCCTAGATGTCCATCAACAGATGAATGGATAAAGAAGATGTGGTACATATATACAATGGAATATTATGCAGCCATCAAAAATTTGAAATCTTGCCATTTGCAACGATGTGGATAGAACTGAAGGATATTATGCTAAGTGAAATAAGTCAATCAGAGAAAGACAATTATCATACGATCTCACTGATATGTGCAAGTTAAGAAACAAGGCAGAGGATCATAGCGGAAGACAGGAAAAAATGAAACAAGATGAAACCAGAGAGGTAGACAAATCGTAAGAGATTCTTAACCTCAGGAAACAAACTGAGGGTTGCTGGAGTGGAGGGGGGTGGGAGGGAGGGGGTGTCTGGATGATGGACATTGGGGAGGATATGTGCTATGGTGAGCGCTGTGAATTGTGAAAGACTAATGAATCACAGACCTGTATCCCTAAAACAAATAATACATTATATGTTAATTAAAAAAAAATAGAAGAGCCCACATAATCTTAAAGAACAACAACACTGGAGAATTCACCCTAGAGAGTTACTAAGATCTATTTTTAAACTTTTTATTTTTATGTATTTTTATTATTTTTTTTATGATGAATATGCTTTTAACATACAGTGTTAGATAAACGTGTACAATATAGTGATTCAGTAATTTAAAAAAAACCCAGAACAATTCTATAAATTACTCGATGTTTATCACACAGTACTCCTTTTTTGTGGGAATTTTTTAACACTTAATGACTTCTTAAATTCCAGTATAATCAATGTACAGTGTTATATTAGTTGCAGGTGTACAACATAGTGCTTCAGCAATTCTACGTATTACTCAGAGCTCAAATAAGTATACTCTGGATCCTCTTCACCTACTTCCCCTACCCCACACTCACCTGCTCCCTGGTAACCATCAGTTTGTTCTCTATAGTTCAGAGTCTGTTTTTGCTTGTCTCTTCTTTCCTTTGTTCATTTGTTTTGTTTTCTTTTTTTTTTTTAAAGATTTTATTTACTTATTTGACAGAGATCACAAGTAGGCAGAGAGGCAGGTGGAGGGAGAGGAGGAAGCAGACTCCCTGCTGAGCAGAGAGAGCCTGATGCGGGGCTCGATCCCAGGACCCCGGGATCATGACCCAAGCCGAAGGCAGAGGCTTTAACCCAATGAGCCACCCAGGCGCCCCTGTTTTGTTTCTTAAATAAACTTTTTTACTTAAAAAAATTTTTAAAAGATAAATATAGCAAGTTTCCTTTAATAAAGGTAAGTGCCATCTCCACCCTGAAATGCTCAAATGATGGAAAAGTGATTGGCACCTTAGCTGGTCTTTAGGTCCAAACACACACACAATTTTTCTGTTTTAATGATAAACATTTTATGTAAATACATACATCTTTGAGCATGTTTTTAATACTCCAGGATATCTGGATATGGAAATGCTGGGCAGGAGGATAAAAGCAATTTATTTTCAAAAAACAGTGAAGGGGTTTTTAAGAATACACTAACATGATGAACACTGAGTAATGTACAAAATTGTTGAATCACTCTACTGTACACTTGAAACTAAAGTAACACTGTAAGTTAACTCTACTAGAATTTAAATAAATAACGCCATTTATTTTATTAAAATAAAAACAAATATAAATAGAGGCACTTTTGGGCACCTGGGCGGCTCAATCAGTTAAGTGTCCAACACTTTTTTTTTTTTAATTTAAAGATTATGTATGTATGTATGTATGTATGTATGTAATTATTTATTTATGTATGTATGTATGTATTTATTTATAGAGCACGAGAGGGGAGAAGGTCAGAGGGAGAAGCAGACTCCCCATAGAACTGGGAGCCTGGTGCGGAACTGGATCCCAGGACTCCAGGATCATGACCTGAGCTGAAGGCAGTTACTTAACCAACTGAGCCACCCAGGCATCCAAGCGTCCCAACTTGTGATCTCAGCTTGACTCTTGATCTTAGGGTCCTGAGTTCAAGCCCCAAGTTTGGGGAAAAAGAAAAAATGGAGGGGGGGAGGTGAGCGGTGTAGTCTGTCAAGTGTATGACTCTTGGTTTCAGCTCTGGTGGTGATCTCCGTCGTTATATCGAGCCCCAAATTGGGCTCCACACTCAGCACAGAATCTGCTTGAGATTCTTTCTCCCTTTGTCCCTCCCATCTGCATTCTCTCTCTGTCTCTCTCAGATAAATAAATAAAATCTTAAAAAAAACAAAACAAAACAAAACAGGGGCACCTGGCTGGCTCAGTGGGAGGAGCATGTAACTCAATCTCGGGGCTGTGAATTCAAGCCCCATGTTGGGTGCAGAGCTCACATAAATAAATATACTTTAAAAACAAAATAAATAAAAAAAAAATAAAATTTTAATAAATGTTATCGAACTGCTCTCCAAGGTAGTAATATAGGAAAGAACTATTTTGCCATATTCTTGCCAACACCAGATCTAAAAAATTTGCCAAATCAATGAAGTTTTAATTTGCATTAATAGTACAAGGCAATTTATGGATACTCAAAAAAGAGTCGAAATAAAAAGGGCTAAAAAATGTCAGGGGAGGGGGCGCCTGGGTGGCTCAGTGGGTTAAGCCTCTGCCTTCGGCTCAGGTCATGATCTCAGGGTCCTGGGATCAAGCCCCGAGTCGGGCTCTCTGCTCAGCAGGGAGCCTGCTTCCCTTCCTCTCTCTCTGCCTGCCTCTCTGCCTGATTGTGATCTCTGTCTGTCAAATAAATAAATAAAATCTTTAAAAAAAAAATGTCAGGGGAGAGAAACACAAACTTGAGCTGTAACTTTATGAAAGGTTAAGGTCTTTCCATGGAATCTGCAAGGTTTGGAGGAGTTTGGAGTCAAGATAAAAATAATTTTAACCAAACTATGGGCCCTACCATGTACACATTTTGGTTATTCATCATTTTTATTTCTACATCTGTGAGCTGCTTTTCTTATCCTTTGCCTAGTCTTTCTTTGGGGCTTCTTTCTTGATTTACAAGGGTTCTTCATTTTTGCTTACTTATCTTTAGTCTGTTATATATGATCCAAATATTTTTCTTAGTTTGTCATTTTTTTTTAAAGATTTTATTTATTTATTTCACAAAGATCACAAGTAGGCAGAGAGGCAGGCAAAGAGAGAGGGGGAAGCAGGCTCTAGCTGAGCAGAGAGCCCGATATGGGCTTGATTCCAGGATCCTGAGATCATGACCTGAGCTGAAGGCAGAGAGGCTTAACCCACTGAGCCACCCAGGCGTCCCTTAGTTTGTCATTTTTATCTTTTAAATTTGTTCATGGTGTCTTTCATCATCAGGAGTATTTATGTTTTATGAAGAGCATTAATATTTTGATTGTAAAGAAGTGTCAGATTTATCAACACTATTTTACCAGCTCTAAGAAAACTAAATGGTTTACCCAGTCTTAGATGAAACATTATGGTCCATAAATGTGAGGATTTGGAAACACAGAAGATTGAGCTCTGAATTTAGCTCCCGCATTCCAACAGGTAAACAGGTAACAGAAACAATCATCTGTGGGCAATTCTAACACTGCCAATTCCATAAAATCTCGTGTTGAAGTCCACCTGACTCACCCACAGATTTGTCTGCCATGCCTACATCTCTAGATGTCCAGCGACAAAATCCACAGGCCAGGTAGTAGGCTTTCTTCATGGTGGTCTTGGCAGGGTCATCTGGAAGCTGTGTGGAGATACTTGTTGCCCGAGTAGAGAGAGTGTGCATACAGCCAGGACAGTCAAAGCAGTTGGCACACCTATAACACAAGACCACTGTTCATTCTCTCAACAAGTCTTTATCAAGCACCTGCTATGTACCACACAGTGTCCTAGGTGTTAGGAATTCAAGAGGGACTATAAAGGAGGACTGTCTCTCAATGAAAAGGAAATTACAAAGTATTAAAATCTTGTTTTAAAATTTAAGTATTGTACGTTCATTTTTTTTTTTTTTTAAATGTAATCATCACTAAAGTTCCTGAAGAATTAAGAGCCTGACCCAATCCTTTTCCAGAGACAATCATTGCTAAACAGTCTGGATTTAACCGTTTCAGACTCCATTTAGGCTTGTACAGACCACGAAGATTTCTGAGGGAGAGAAAGGTCACCACTTATGCCTTTAGAAAGGACTGAGCAGTTGCACAATGAAAACTCGAGAGGCAACAATAGAATAGGCTATGAAACTGGGTTTGGAAAACAACTGCTTGTTTGCTGCGCCAGAGAGCGGACATAAAAACCAAAGAATGTTCTCAAACTGCAACAGTTCAGAAGCAGTGCCTTTTCAGGGCTTTCTGTTCTCTCCTTAGGCACCACTCTTCCTAGCGCTTCCCCGACACTTCCCCTTCAGGGGCCCCAGTGCCTTGCTGCTTGTAGCTTTTTCACCACCTGAGATTATCAAGATTTCCACTCCTAGTCCTGGACTTACTCTGAAGCTCTGTTCTACAACTCTAATTATCTGCGATATTTTGCCATCTGGATAACGTCCTCATGTAAGGATAATAGTGGTATCTACCCACTGTTCACTGCTCACTGATAGTCTGAGAATTAAATCATAAAATTAACGTGATTTAATTTTATGGATTTAAATTTAATTTAAAATCATAAAATTAAATTTTTAATCATAAAACAAACAGTGTCTGGCTTATTAGGAGGTATTTCTCACGTTCAGGAAAGAAAAGTCATGGTGGTTCACATCCATGCGGTATAAGGGTATGACTGGTAGCAAAGGACTTTCATGCTTAAGCTAAAAACCAAATGGCATCCAGGAGCAATGAGCACACTTACTACCCAGATCTTGGTTTTTAATACCATTTTCCAATAAAGGGAACCAGGGCTCCTTGGAGAAATGGCTAATTCAAGGACTGAGGCAGAGTTCCGGGATTAGCCTGGAGTATCTTGTACAACCAAAAAATGACAGAATGCTCAAATAAATGAACAGCTCCCCCAACCCCCAGCCCATGCAACAACAGGGGTACACCAAAGGGATACAGGAGTCTACCGAAAGAGCTGGCAATGGCCAAAGCTGTAACAATCTGAGCAAAAAAATAAATAAATAAAGTGGTACTGGATTATATCCTATGGTATAAAACCAATATTTAAATAAATTATTAAATAAATAAATAGGGGAGGAGAGAAAAATCTACCATTTAAACAAATTCCAAATAATTTACGTAGAGAATCCTCACAGAGGGGGAACATAACTCCCCGCTATAAGAGTGTTTTCCTTCCAAAGAGTACAGTATAAAAAAGGAGAAAAAAGAGTGACTGTATATTGGAGAAACCTGACAAACACTAGCTCAAGTCAGGTCATTAAGGCTAACATCAACAGTGATAAGTTCTATCGACAGTATGTACCCTTCATGGGATGTAATAAAAGATGCACTTTAACTCTATTGTCTTGTACCCCATAACACATTTCCCCAGCTAACATGAAAAACATCAGATATATTCCAACTGAGGGACATTCTATAAAATATCTAACCAGTACTCCTCAAAACTTTTAAGGTCCTCAAAACCAAGGAAAGTTTAAGAAAATGTCATAGCAAGAGAAGCCAAAAGAGACATGACTATTAAATGTAACATGGGTATCCTAAATAGAATCCAGGAACAGAAAAAGGAGATTAGGGAAAAACTGAGGAAATCTGAATAAAATGAAATGTTTATTTAATAACAAAGTATCCATGTAGTTCATTAATTGAGGCAAATATACCATAATCATGCAAGATGTTAATGATAGGGGAGACTATGTGTTAAGTACACAGAACTCTCTGTACCATCTTCACAATAATTCTTAAGTCTAAAACTGTTCTAAAATAGAAAATTAATTTTAAAAAATCAAAGGACATTTCATCTTTGGCAAAGGTGATGCTAAAAAATGAAAACCAGCCAGTTAAAAACAAGAGTTAATTCCATGAGTTTCCTTGCCAGCTATTAAAAAAATAGTTGAGGAAAACAGAAAAACAAACAAACAAACAAAAAAACCGGATCCTAGTCTTACCTATTCTTTTTCAATTTGGCTTCAGCCGATGGCATATTTTCTAAGCAACTGGGACAATAATGGGAGTCCACCTAGAAAGAAACAAGAAATCAAAAATCAAAGGAAAAGACACTCAGTCTAGCTTGTATCTACATCTATGCCAAATAGTGAATTCTAAAATATACTGCACCAGAACATGAGAAACCAATGATATGCCAAAGAACCTAGACTGTTTTCTGCTTAGGGTTTATTCTTCAACCATGTTTTTTCTTATTTTCTGTATTTCCTAAAACCCTTCCAGTTTTCCTTTCTGCTCTTTCCTCTTCCCTTTCATTAGGATTTTATGTAACAGATGTGTTACAAGTTGTCTTGGAAAAGACATGGAAAAGAAGAACTCTATGATAATCTAATGAACAGACTAATAAGTAAAATAACACAATTTGTGAAGCTCTGATCAAATATCCTTTCATCGTTTCATACTGTTTAGCTTTAATGGGCTGTAATAACTTGACAGCACTTACATTGTTAAAGGAAAACTTTACAAGTTTTCTCATTATTAAAGTATTACATGTTCACAAAAGTTCTCTAACCTCTAATCAGAGATACTTTTTATTATTTTTAAATACTTTTATTTACTTATTTGACAGAGAGAGAGATAGCAAGAGAGAGAACACAAGCAGGGAGAGTGAGAGAGGGAGAAGCAGGCTCTCTGCTGAGCAGGGGGCCTGACTGGGATCATGACCTGAGCTGAAGGCAGAGACCTAACAACTGAGCCACCCAGGTGCCCGATTACAGATTTTTAAATGGCAAATTAAACTACTTTTAAGCCAGCAAGATATTCTTACTGTATTTAACTCAAAAACAAAGAAGGAAAATAAATTCACTATATTTTTAAAGCTCTGAATAATTACTTTCTTTAATATAGGTAGATCCTATTGACAGTTCTAGAACTTTAATCACCTACAGATGTAAAGACAAATTTAAATGAATAGAAATACTATGATAGAAACTGGCTTCTTTTTTTCATCATCTGCTATACACAGGACCACCTTTGAAAAAATAAAGTCGCTGCTCGAATAACCTCTAGGAACATAAAACACAGTACTGTTAACTACTACTTGCACTTACTCATCATAAAAAGCAAACTGTAATTTGTTCCTTCTTGTGGCTCTTTTCAAATTCCGCCTGTCCCTTCATGTGCAGCTCCAATCCCAGGTTCTCCATTAGAACTTTCTGGACTCCTCAAGCCCTTACTGGCCTCACCCTTCCCCAAATCCTAAAGGGCCTCCACTTCACAGGTGGAGGTACACCCAAGTCAGTAAGATACAGTAAGACAGACTGTCCTAGCTCAAGATATCCTTAAAAATCATGGAGACTGAGCTCTCTAATGACCACCACGTGGGAATCTAATCCAATAAATTCTGGAAGTGGAGGTGAAGCTGGAACAGGAAAACATCTAAAAGACAAAGGACCTGCTAAAGAGATACACACAGAGAAGATACTAATGGAGAGGAAAAAAAAACAATAAATATCCTGTATATAATATAGCAATGATTTTTCTCTTGTATTACATAACTCCTTTCTGTGCCTATTCTTAATATTAAGAAAAATACACCTAATAAAATTTTAATAATATGTAAAATGGGGCACCTGGGTGGCTCAGGCATTACACGTCTACCTTCAGTTCAGGTCAAGACACCAAGAGTCCTGGGATCAAGCCCCACATCGGGCTCCTTGCCTAGCGGGAAGCCTGCTTCTCCCTCTCCCCCTGCTTGTGTTCCCTCTCTCACTGTGTCTCTCTCTCTCTCAAATACATACATAAATAAAATCTTTTAAAAAATCAGTAAAATGGCTTAAAGTACAGGACACGTTTTCATATGCATTTTTAACAGTCCAGGTATCTTCAGTGAAGTTCTCTGAATCATGTTTCAAATCCTGATTTGAAAGGCTGCCTTGAGTTTCAAATCTTGGTCCTCTCTGCCACCCCCAAATTTTTGACTGTGTAACCTACGGCAAACACTGTGTCTGTTGCTTTAACTATAGTTTTTTGTTGTTGATTTTTTAAGAATATTCATTCTATTGGCCTGTAGGATGATTAAAGGAGTTTACATAAACCACATGGCGTATAGAAAGCACTGAATAAGCATTAACTGTTACCAGCAGCTTTTCTTTAACTAGACTTTTCTTTAACTCAACAGCAGGATTTATGTCTTACTCGTCTTTTAATCCCCAAAGCTTACAGAATGAACAAGATGTGCTAAGTGCTGTAGAAGTTTTGGGATTTTGTTATTTGGTAATTTTTTTTTAATGGGGTGGAGTGTTTTACGTTATGAGCAATCCTGCTTCCAACGCCCACTTGTTCCTGCGAAGGACAGCACCATACCCTCTGGAGAAGCGCCATGAGCTTCTTACACGAACAGACGTTATTCTAAGCGCTTTCAACCCAGTTCGCCCCAACCCAACCTCTTCCCTGCTGCAGGCCTTGGTCTGAGCCACAAAACACAGCAAGGCCCAGTTTCTGGCCAAAGTAAGAGCAGAACTTCCAAGATGGGAGGGGCATGAATGAGAACGCCCATGGGCACCACCCTACAGTCAGTCGTGGAAAGACGGTATCTCGCCCCTCAAGTGGCCTGAATAATCACCCCCACATCTTCCTCCCCAACCCACCCAATTACCAACCCCTCCCCAAGAGACGGCCAGGGTCCCTAAAGTCAGGTTTGTCCAATCCGAGGGCGCTCTAGAACCAAAAGATCCGCTCAGCCCCACCCAAGGCCGCTCCTTCTTTCCAAATGACAAATTATAAGCAAATTAAATCGCCAGCAAATCTGAATGACGGAAGACAGAGCCAATCAGCAAACTAGGAAAATGACTTCCCGCCCGTCGCGGTGACTAGGGCGAACCCTTCCCCCCTCCTCCCCCAACACATACACACTCTTCACCGGACGACTGCATTACCTCGTGAGACACACATTCCAGCGACCGCAGCTCGCTGCAATAGCGGCAGAAATAAAGCTGCGATAGCGGGGCCCGAACCTTCTTTTCTCCCTGGACTAGGTAGAGAACCCGCTCCGATTGCAGCAAGGACGCCATCTTGGAGGGGGAGGAGTCAACGACGCTCTCGCCGCGTCACGTGACCCGAGAGCCTGCGTTGCTTCTGCGCCTTTCCTACGTATTTCGTCTGAGACTTTGCGTAAGGTTTCCGAACTAGTGGGACCCGGCGCCGGGCGAAAGTCACAGTGCGCTTGCGTAGCTGGGGATCCCGGTTTTCTTCCCCAGCGTTTCAGCAAGCGTTGTCCGCCTGGGCGAGGTCCGAGCTTTCTATCACTGAGTACGCAATCCCAGATCAAATCAGACAGGCCAGTGCTCTCCGTTTCCTTGTCTCTTCCGGAAAGAAAGGCTGCACTTTTGTTTCATTTACAACGGCCTCTCCTGCCCTCACCTTCCAGGAAGACTTCCAGAAGGTAGATGGAGGGTCTCAGGGACAGAGTGCCTTGGGAATTGGAAAGTTAATTGTCATACCAGCACTTTCTTTTGACTGCCTTGTCACCGACCTGTAGGAAATCTTCACAGACATTATCTCGCTTGAAATTTCTTAGACTCTGAGTTCCTCCACCCAGAAGCCATGGTTCATTCATTTCCAGGTTTTGAGTACTTAGAATTAGGACTAAGTCTGTATTATGAGCATTTAGTAAGTATTGGTTGATGGAGGAATTAAATCATTGACCAATGTTGCTAGGTATCATGTACATTTTTTCTAGCGCATAAACTAAGGCTTAGATATATAAAATGACTGCTTTTAACCGGCCTAGCAGAGACTGGAGCCCAGGTTACCCGCCACCAGTTCTGTGCTCCTCTCATTGTACTAATGCATTCTTTACCTGTCTGATGTTGGAGCTGGTGAAAAGAAGTGGAACTGAATATTAATACTAGCTGACGTCTATTGAATATTTATTGAGTGCAAGGTGCTGTGACCAAACTTTACACACATTGTCTCATTTAATTTTCACAAGAACTCCAAAAGGCAGGTGCTATCATTTTTATTTGGCTCCAAGGGAAGCAGGCTCAGAGAATTACAATGACTTGTCTAAGATTTCATAGATAGCAGTGGAACCCTGTTCTGACTCCAGAGGGGCATGCATTACACCTATGCATACTGCCTCTAGCATATTTTCCCCCCAGCTTTATTGAGGTAAAATTGACAACTTAAAATTATATATATTTAAGGTGTAGACCTCGATAATTTGATATACACTGTGAAATAATGAACTCAACCTAATTAACATATGCATCACTTCACATGGCTACCATTTTCTTTTTTTCTCTTCTTTTCTTTTTTCTGATGAGAACACTTAAGATCTACACGCTTAGAAAATTTCAAGGATATCATATACAATATCATTAACTAGGGTCACACTGTTACACATTAAATCTTCAGAAGTTATTCATCTTGCATAACTGAAATTTTGTACCCCTTGGCCAACATTTCTTCACTTCCTCTCCCCGCCCCGCACCGACCCCCAGACCTTGGCAACAACCCTTTTCCCTGCTTCTGTGAGTTTGATTATTTTAGAATCCATATGTAAGTGAGATAATGCAATATTATCTTTCTGAGTCTGGCTTATTTCACTTAGCATACTGTCCTCCAGGTTCATCCTGTTGCTTCAAATGGCAGGAGATACATATTGATATATTTATGTTTATATTATATTTCAGTTATTGTGTATATATTTATATATCACATTTTCTTTATTCATCTGTTGACATTTACGTTGTTTCCCTCTTTTGGTTGTTGTAAATAATGCTGAGATGATCATGGGAGTGCAGCTATCTCTTTAAGATTCTGATTTCATGGGTGGCTCAGATGGTTAAGTGTCTGCCTTCAGCTCAGGTCATGATCCTGAGGTCCTGGGATCAGTCCCTCGTTGGGCGCCCTGGAGTCTGCTTCTCCCTCTCCTTCCGCTGTTCCCCCTGCTTGTGCTCTCTTGCTCTCTTTGTCAAATAAATAAAATCTTAAAAAAAGAAAAGATTCTGATTTCTTTTCTTTTGGCTATAGACCTGGAAGTGGGACTACTGGATCATAAGATAGTTTTATTTTTAATTTTTTGAGGAACCTCCATATTGCTTTCCATAGTAGCTGTACAAGTTTGCATTCCCACAATAGTGTACAACAGGTCTCTTTTGTCCACATTCTGGACAACACTTGTTATCTTTTATCTGATAATGGCCATTCTAACAAGTGTGAGGTAATAGCTCATCGTGGTTGTGATTTGCATTTCCTTGATGGTTAGTGATGTTGAGCACCTTTTCATGTATCTGGTGATAATTTGTATGTTTTCTTCAGAGACATATCTATTCAGGTCCTTTGCTCATTTTTAAATTGGAGTATTTATTTATTTATTTAGCCATATGTTGTGGATATTAACCCCTTATCAAGTACATGATTTGCAAATATTTTCTTCCATTGTGTAGGTTGCCTTTTCATTCTGTTGGTTGTTTCTTTTGCTGTTAATAGTTTATTTTATTTATTTGATAGAGAGTGAGAGAGCCCAAGGAGGGGGAGCAGCAGAGGGAGAAGGAGAAGCAGACTGCCCGGATCCCGGGTTCGTGACCTGAGCCAAAGGCAGACATTCAATCAACTGAGCCACCCAGGCACCCCTGTCTGCAAAAGGTTTTTAGTTTGGTGGAATCCCACTTGTCTATGTTTGCTCTTGTTGCCCAGAGCCTGTAGGTAGAGAAACGCTACAGACTTGAGCTGACTTCACATGAAACATACCTTTTGGAGCACAGCTTTTGAACAATTCAGTTCAATGGACAATTATCTGGTCCCTATGTGTCAGGTACTAGGGAGGGAACCAAGGATAAATGGGACAGTTCCTGCCCTCAAAGGGCTCAGAGCCTAGGCCCTAGGGCATTGTTTCTCAGGTATGGCTCTGGATTACCTACACTGAGAATTACTGTTATAAATGTAGATTCCAGACCCTTATCAAGACCCAGATGAGGGGGTGCCTGAGTGGCTCAGTCAGTTAAGCATCTTCCTTCAGCCCAGGTCATGATCCCAGGGTCCTCGGATGGAGTCCTACATCAGGCTCTGCTCAATGGGGAGCCTGCTTCTCCCTCTCCCTTTGCCTGTCTCTCTCCATGCTTGGGCTTGCTCTCTCTCCGGCAAAAAATAAATAAATAAAATCTTAAAAGAGAGAAAGAGCGAGAGAGTGAGACCCAAATTAGAATTTTGGGGGTGGGATCCAGAAATGTAAATCTCTGTTAAGCTTCCAGGTGAATCTCAAGCCCAAAAATTAGAGAACCACTGTTTTTTGGTAATCATTTGTTTAATATTCTGTCTTTGGCCCCAGGACTGACCATGGCAGGCCTTGTCTCTGCTGCTTTCTGATCACTGGTAGCACTGCCTATCAGATGTTCCTCTTCCCCCTGTGCTATGGAAATATGAAAAGTCTCCAATTGCAGAAAACAGAAGCATCCTGCCTATCTCTTGCCAGGCCTCTCTCCCTGCCTTCGGGGGCTGGATTCTATCTCCATGATTCCAGTTCCACAGAGCCCTACCTGTCAGACTCTGAAGATTAGACCTCACTTTGGAGATCTGTGTTCCAGGGCCAACCCCAGTCCCTGGGCCCAGGTCCTCCCCAAATCTTTTTTACTTGGAACTATCTGATTACGACATGAATACCTTCTTGATATCCCTCTGGGAATCCACTTGGCAAACCTGGAGATGTGAAAGAGTGAGCATTCTAGGGGACCATAATTGACCAATGTAGTGTGGGATCTTGTGAATAAATGGCCCCTTCTTCTTTCTCCTAGACATTCTCACTGTGTCTTTAGAGGGTACCAGCAGGATCAAGCCCTAGTTACATGCAGTGGTGACCAGCTTAATAACATGCTCTTGTACTGACCTTCCTTTCAACTGATTGACTTTTCCCAGCTCCCTGCCTGCAAGCTCTGTTGTCTAAGGGGAGTTGAGGTTAAATAGGGACCCGCAAATGGAGCTGCTAGGTAACCGGTAACCACATTTAATAGTTATTGGCAGTGAGCCCTTGTGAAAAGACCAGACCAGTTTATACTCTCACCATTAGTATCTGAGACTCCCATTTCCCCATTGTTTTGCCAACATGGAATATTATATCAAATATGGGTGAATAATTTTATGCTTTCTAGCTATGTGATCTTGAAAAAGCCATTTTTACCTCTGAATCTTGTTTCATAACCCATAGAATGGAAAGAATAATCCCTGTTTTGGGGTGAATAGGAAAATCACCATGGCTGAGAAAGCAATCTGTAAGGCAGGAAGTACTAGGCACATGTAAGAAACAATCCCTGATTATTCCAAATATGAAAAACCCGGAAGGGGTTTCCTTCCTCTAAAGAATCATTCAGAGCAAATTCACAATAACTAAGAAAAAAAAACAAACTGGAGTTGGTCACACTTTGGTCGAATGAGATCTTGCAGAGAGGACCTGAAATCGAGCCCCCACATCAAAGGCTCAGGGTCCTCTGCAGAATAAGAATCCTGGAGGTCTAGTCTGATCTAGTGCAGGCCTTCAGCCTGGGCCACACTTCTTATTTGGGTTTCCTGTGAGAAAACGGTGTTAACCACAGATTTCCCTGCATTGAATCTGCACGCTCACCTAAATGCCATAGTAAGTGAGCAGAGGAAGAAGGAAAAAAAAGTCCCCCATTTCTTCAAACCCCTCCTGTTTCCCCTGAGGGGCGCTGCCTCGGAAATGTGGTGGTGGTGCTGGCTCAGGCTTGTTTCCCCAGGGGAACCATGGGAGAGGGCTGCGGCTGTGCCTTCATTCTGGGAGCATGGCCATAGATTCAACTCAGAATTGTTTTTCCAGAGCTTCTTACCTTACCCTGATTCCTTGCTTCTCCTATTGTAGCTATTCCCTTACGGTCACCTAGCTGCCCCATCCAAAAAGCTGGAGACTTCCTAGGTGACTCTTGCCTTTCAATCCTACCTCCTGCATAGCTCAGCCACTGCCTCTCTTCATTCTCACAGTCACCACCTTCACTGGTTTTCACCAGTTTTCTCTTGGGTGTGTCATAACCTCCTGACTGCTCCTCGGTTTGCTCTCCACACTGAGCCAGAGCAATGTTTCTGAAAGCCA